AGGGCATGCAAGGCTCCTAGGAGTTCTATATATTTATTCTCTCTCGCTTCTTTGGGGCATGCTCCCCTTTGAGATCTGTCCTGGACTCCTCAGCTGCGAGAACTTGTTGACAAGTGAGAGCTCAGTAGAGCCCCGGCTCGGTTTGTGTTTATGTTCCACAGAGTGCCTTCATATTTACTCTGGACCTTGTCTGCCCTTTTCGGTGAGACGGCTCTGATCGACGCGCTGACAGCGGTCGTCCGAGCTGCGGGGAAACGGGGCGCGCCCTGTGGGGGACCAGTGACTGTGTCCGCGCTAATTTCCTCCGTAACCTTTAAACTCTCCCTGGAAAGCCGCCGCCGCGGCTGGTCACGTGAGGCGAGCCCTGGGCTGCTGGGGAAGAATTTCCTCCGCCGGGAGCCGGGGACCGGGAAGGCGGCCCCGCGAGGGGTGGCCCCGCGCTGCGGGACGCAGACCTGGGAGGGCGGGTCGAGAGCGCGCAGGCCCGGGGCGCGGCCCTTGTTGGAGTATCTCGAAGGACAGGGTTGGGAAGAGGTCATCTCCGCAACCTGCGAGCTGGGGTTGTGCAAATGGAAAAAGAAAACCGCGGCTTATCCAAAATGCCAAGTCAAGTCGGAGTTTGTAGAAATCTAAGCTGAGTGTTCATCTGGCAGGACTGGATAGTGTAGAGTAGACCAAAATGTAAAACCCACTTCCCGATCACTTTTTCTCAGTGGAAAAAAGGTTATCATTACCTGTGGCTTTAAAAGGTTAAAGGCCCGGAAGGAGGCAGCCCCCTGGAACCATAGGCTCAAGTGCAGCACAGAGGTCGCAAAAGTGATCAGAAAAGTCCCAAGGTGATTGTGGCAGGTCCTCTGTCTCCTAAGGCGGGCAGGATCCTACAAGTCATTTCTAGAAGCCTACTCACCTTCTGGAGAATGGGCAGCTGGGTAGAGAGAGTGCTACAATGCAGGCTTAGGGACCAATGAGATCGTTCACGTATAAAAAGTTATGCCTTGCCAAAACCGGTTTGGCTCAGTGGATAGAGCGTCGGCCTGCGGACTGAAGGGTCCCAGGTTCGATTCCGGTCAAGGGCATGTACCTGGGTTGCGGGCACATCCCCAGTGGGAGATGTGCAGGAGGCAGCTGGTCGATGTTTCTCTCTCATCGATGTTTCTAACTCTCTATCTCTCTCCCTTCCTCTCTGTAAAAAATCAATAAAATATATATTTAAAAAAAAAGTTATGCCTTACTTGGCCACTCCCACCAGCTGGAGATTATATTTGAAAATCTGTCAGTTTGACAAAGCACAAGGTGATGCCTCGTTGCTGTTTAATTTTTATTTCTCTGAACATCCGAACTTTTTCCTCCTTGTTTTTTACTTCTAACATTATATTTTTCTTAAACTCCCCCCCACCCACCCACCCCCTTCATGGGGCAAGTAACTGAGGACAACTGGCAGGGAATAGGGTTTGATCTGAAAAAGCATTTGGGAAACGGAACCAGTGCTAGAATGAGATGAGAGATACTTGACAAAGAGGAAACGTTTAAAGGGTACCAATAAACTCAGTAATTAAGATAAAGAATATTTTAATGCATTATTTTAAAACATGTTTTTATTTATTTTGAGAGAGAGAGAGACATGGATTGGCTGCCTTCTGCATGCCCCCCACTGGGGATGGAGCCCACAACCCAGGCATGTGCCCTGACCAGGCATTGAACTGGTGACCTCTTGGTGCATGGGGCAATGCTCAACCAACTGAGCCACACCAGCTGGGCAATGCAATATTTTTAAAAATAAAAATACATGTAAAAATTTAGCATGAACATATCCAAAGTTTAAATCATTTTAAATATTGCATTAAAATATTATTTATATTACTGAGTTTATTGGTACCCCTGAAGTTTTGTACCAAAAGACAAGTGCTTCACTTGCCTTCACTTTAGCCCTGGCCCCGTTGGGAAGTCTAGAGAGGCAAGGATTTCATGAGGTTAGGTATCCTTGAGTAAATAGTGTTTCATACCTCTTTCTCTGGGTGAGTTCTGTCTTACCACACAAGCAAAAGCACTGAAAAACAGTGGCCAAAATCCTTCCTCTCCAGTATGTTAAACAGGAAATCGTTTTAGAATTATGGACACACTGCATTAAACTTTTTGCATAATATCATATCCCACCCCCAGACAAGACCCCAAAATATATGAAATAGGGTCTGTTGCCATCTCGGTGAGTAGGCATTCTTCGAAGTATTGGTTTTATTCTTCTTTGCAACCTAAGTAAGGTTACAGGAAGGCAGCATCTGCCTCTTAGCAGACTGTTTGTTACACATGTGAATAATCACACTGTAATCCTCATGTGCAACCGATACCAATGTGACCTCTACTTTCAATTATATCTTTCTGTGGTGGGGATCGGGAGGGTGGGCTGTAACTAAAAGACTTGGCCAAACTGCCTGTTTTGAATTGGATGGATATTTATATAAAAAGGGAGAATGCTGATAGTCTACATTCAAACATTGCTGATTACCTGCCCTTTTGCATCCTTCTTTCTAAATAAATCTCTCACCTCCCTACCCTCAAACTTGGCTAAATGAAAATGTGTATTCTCCGGGGATACCATGGAAATGCCAGGTGTGTGCTTGTTTAGGGGAAGGCCCTTGCACTTACCTGGGAAGGCCCGGGGATCTGGTCTAAAATAACTCTCCGCTCCAGATTTCACCTGAAGAGAAAAAGAAGCACTTGCAGGAGGAAGATTTTGAATGTAAAATGCTAATCAGTAATGATTGTTTACTTCCTCCTTCTCTTGGCCCTGTATATAGTCCTGAAAGACAAATAGCCATTGATCTAGACATTGAGCAAAATGCCCCCTAGTCATCTGGTGATCTTTGGGAGAGGGAAAGGGAAAGGAAGAAAGATGATATAAAAGTTTTTGCAAAGATGATCAAGATGGTACTCCTCTCCTTTTAAAATTAAGGCTCATCTGGCTGGTGTAACTCAGTGGTTGAGCATCGACCTATGAACCAGGAGATCATGGTTCAATTCCTAGTTAGGGCACATGCCCAGATTTCGGGTTAGATTCCCCTGTGTGGGGTGTGCAGGAGGCAACTGATCAATGATTCTCTCTCATCATTGATGTTTCTACTTCTCTCTCCCTTCTCTCTGAAATCAATAAAAAAATATTTTTTTAAAAATGAAGGCTTGTAGGAAAAAGAACTGAAAGAGCAAGAGTCCCCAGGGCAGTGTGATAAGTGCTGCCGTAGATGTAGGGTGCACCGGCCTCTGGGAGAGCACAGAGGATCAGCCCTTTGCCTGGGTACGCGCCACCCAAAAGATCTAGGCCAGTGGTCAGCAAACCCATTAGTCAATAGAGCCAAATATCAACAGTACAACAATTGAAATTTCTTTTGAGAGCCAAATTTTTTAAACTTAAACTATATAGGTAGGTACATTGTTATTAACTTAAATTAGGGTACTCCTAAGCTGGCCTTTGCTAAATACGTCCCTCAAATCTGATTGAGGTATGTTCGCTG